GCTGGCTTCAGAACATTTTCCAGAGATGAGTTACACTGAGGACATAATGTGAAAGTAATACCTGTGAAAAGTGTGATAGAATAGGATGGAGAGGGTGAGCTAAGGGAAAGACAGACTGTAACAAAATGTGTCCAGACATAGAATAGCCAGTGGTTACAGTAAAATTGTTTTATTGTATTGGGGATTTGAGAGAAATGCCTACACCTGCTGGCGGTGATTAGATGCTCTGCTTTCTATAGTGGTTCAATGATGTCAACCCTTCCTTTTCTTTGTCTCTCAATACTTCTAAATTAAGGGCACCTCACACAGAACTCATTTTTGCATTCCACAGCACTACTTCTCCAAGGTTTTTCAATGTAAACATGAGCTAGACAGACGTGCTTGACCACTGCGCTTCCCAATTGTATCTTTTGCAGTATCTCGCAAGTTCAAACTCAAGTTTTTTTTTCATTCCACTTCCCATCATTTTTTAAACTCAAAAATGCATTCATTTGAATTGCCCCTTTCTCATTAGTTACCCATCTACGAGCTCATTTGATAACCTAAACATTAGGTCATGATCTATACAAAACATATGTGATTTAATATGTGTAAAGTTGTAGCAAATATTAGAGGTTACAGCATTTCAAATGCAGGCATTCAAACCATTTATCTAGTTTTGTAGCTGTAATGGAATGTGTGGTGGCTCAAATTCTTGGTATACTGTGGCAAGTCCACAAACAAATCATAGCAAAATTACAGTTTTTCCTGTTATCTAAAGCATTGACCACTCTGTGGGTTAAAATCTCTGATTGGACCATTACCTGGCTGGCACCCCTATAAGTTTCTTGTTCCCATCATCTCTTCACCATAGAACTGAGCCATGAAATACATGCACAGCGCCACATGCTTCACCTGAAACAAAGAGCTGTAAAACATTCTAAGCCCGACAACCTGAAAGCTTGTTAGATACTTAGCGGGAGTGTGTTTTCTTCTCTGCCCACCTGCCGTTCCACATGCAGAGACAAGTATGAGTCAACTTCAACAAAAGGAGGCTAAAATGTTCTGTAACTGTTGGATTCCTGTTGTTTTCAGGTCTGACAGCATGCTGAAACCTTCCCTATGAGAGCTTATTCACAAATTGATGCTGAGGCGAAAAAATAAAATAAAATATCTACAGCGGGTGTTTTTCTTCCAACACCCGACACAGACTCTCCAGAGACACTTGACAATCTGTATCTGGTGGAAAAATTGAAGCTGTAAATGAGAAAATATAGTCAAGCGGTGCAAAATAATACAGTATCCCTTGTAGCTTCCAGCACTTGCTGTTTAACTCCTATCTCTTCAAGATCAGATTTGATCAAATGGAGGTGTTAACCCTCTGAATCGTCAAACAAATGAATTGTCACCACGACGGAAAAGCCTGGTGACATTTATTGAGCCACCATCAAACTTAACAATCAATCCAGCCTTTAACTTTTCCCTGACTCAATTAAACCCACTGAGCCACAATTAAATTTCCTCAGCTTCACATTTATCAAAATAACCTCTTTTATGTTCCAAAGGGGGAAACATAAAAGGCCTACTGAAGTGTATTGAAACACACAGCATTATTAAATGTGTTGACGTAATTTCCACTGAAACAGGAAGACAGGGCGGGACATATCAAACAGCTCCTCCCCTTTTTAAAAATAGCCAATAGCGTTTAGTTTATATCACAGCTCGGCCAGAGCCTTTGAGCTCAGTAAAGGCGCAGTTTCAGACTGCAGCCGCAGCTTCAGCATCTATTTATAATCTAGGGGGCGGGACGCTTTCGATTCTAGAGAATCTGATGAGAAGCTGAAGTGCAGAAGTGAGAGACTGTAAGTTTTGAATTCTTATATCTTCTAAATACGAATTTTGCCATTGTTTTGGAGCACGCTAACTTATGGATAACAGCAAGACTAACATATTCATACTAAAAGCCAAAAATTTTGATTTTATGGCTACTTTAAGGGCTTAAGTCATGTCCAATTGTATTTGTATATGTACATTTATGTCAGTTTATTTATTTATATTTTAGTGCGGTCTAATGCTAGGATAGGATTGTGACTGAGAGGAGAAATAAACTGATAAATAGGTTTCTGTATTAACATCTGTAAATACTAAGTCTTGATTTGTCTTTCCGAAAGCTTTATTAAATGGACAGTTCTCCCAAAAATATAAATTCTGTCATTATTAACTCACCCTCATGTTGTTGTTTTTTTTGGGCCATAAAATGGAAGTCACCAAAATTGTTTGGTTACCAGCATTCTTCAAAATATCTTCTTTTTTTTTGTTCCACAGATTGAAGAAAGAAAGTCATACAGGTTTGAAACGATGAGTAAACAATGACAGAATTTTCATTTTTAGGTGAACTTAAAGCAACGACAAAGATCCTGTTCTGTTAAACAGAAGCGAGGCAGATCAGTCAGTAAAGGGGGGACAGGATTATATATCAGGAATTTATTCAGCATTTACCTCTGAGCTTCTCATTGCAACCACAGTGAGGTGTGCTTGCACTTTTTCCCGGTGTCATCCACACCACCCACTGTACTAAAAAACCCTGTAGCATCATCAATGCGGCATATATCAGGCATTTTAATAGTGGTGTCTGTTCATGAATGTAATTGGCCTTATTGCTGCAGTTCTATTGACATTTCTGCGCTTTACAATCAGCACAATCTTACATACGGGAGGAGAAGTTGGGAGAGACATTACGATTAAACCTCAGCTTTAAACATCAATCTCAGTGATTAAAGGATTGAGCATAATTTGTGCCACTTGTCTCAGTTGATCACATCTGATACGTCTCGCCAGGAGCCATGATTGCCGGAGAGATTTATTCCAGGCATATGGTTGGCTGTCAGGGTGCACTGGCCAAGTTGCTCATGGACACAATGTGGTACCTGGATGCGACTCTCTGAGGACGGGGACGTTTAGATCTCCCTCCAACCCCCATCCATCTAAAACTCTAATCTCTCGGCGACCTCCGTTTCTCTCCATCTGTGTTTGTGACTCTGAGACAGCTTGCAACCAGCTTTTGGGAGGTGTGTATGTGTGTGTGTGTGTGTGTGTATGTGACATGTTGTTTTCTCCTCAAAGCTATGATAAATGTTCCACTCTGTCCTCTCACCATGGAGCAGATGTACCTCTGGGGAGATCACACAACAAACACACACACAGTCTGGCTCAGTCAGCCAGCTAAACTCTTGGCTTGGCTGCTTGGCTATGGTATCTTGTCACCCCTCTGTTGACATGGCAGCTTCAGTGGTGTCAAAAGCCCAAAGCTGCGCCCAGCTAGATGAGCTATTCAAGTGAAGAATTATTCGCACACAAACACACACACACTCTTAGTATCTATTTAACTCCTTTCAATAGTCAATACAGACTTAATCAGGGAAACATTCCTCCTTCACATAGCAATTTCCTGGTGATGTGTGAAAAGCATTAAAGATCAAAATAAAGCGCACAGCGCAAATCAGAGAACGAAGTTTATAAAAAGGATAATCTAAAAAGTCCTTGGGTGCTATTGGAGTTGTCAGGGTGGGTGTACTCTAAATGCACGTGGATGAGGAGACGCGAGCGAACGGGGAAACAGGGAGGGAAGGAAATCAAATAAGATCGTTAAAAGCTTCGCGGGAGCAATAGATCTCGGCGCATTTCAGCCGAGCGGCCAGAACGGCACAAACAAGCCCTGCGCTGCAGCGATAAGAGAAACGGCACCAAGTGCTCCAAAGAGCAGCAAAAAGGGCACTGCTGCATCTCTGCAGCCAGTCAATGGTAGGAAAACAAAGAAGGATGAGACTGAACACGCACATTAGGGCATTATGAATACATAAGATCCTTACTATTAAATCACAATGCATCACAAAAAAAAAAAAGACACATTCATGTATTTTAAGGGTATTCAGTCCCAAGACATTGTGTTGGTGTATATTTGTCTACATGCAGCCAATGAGAAAATGTGTGAGACACGAAGACGTGATGTTAACAGGATTTTTCCCAGAGTGAGCGGCCAAGTTGGTCTGGCTAAGTGTCTCCCGTGGCAGTAAATTGCTGTGTAGACAAGAGTAAAAGCCCTCAGCCTGTCAACTACACAGGGGAACTGGACTAAATCTAGCCTCTGGACTGGCCTGTACAGCTGGTTTATTTTCAGAGGATACTCTATGAAATACTATTTATGGCCAAGCATGCTAATTCTAGCCCACTGTTTATCATTTGTTTGTAAAGAAAGCTTATATTATATGACACTACCATACAAAGTCAAACTAAGCTACATTTCTGCTTTGTACAGTTGCTCAGAAGAGAACATACTTAAACAATGTAAATCATATAAATCAATTGTGTTGGTCTAACTTGTAGATTTTGGATAGGATATTAGGATATTAACTGTCCTAAAATTTATCTAATTGGTAGCATAACTATATAACAACTAAACCACCGTGACAGATTCATCATGCCTTAAAATAGCTTGAATGTAACTCTACACCCTTGCTTCATTTAGTGTATGTGGATCCATGGATATGCTAATTAGCCCCACCTCCACTCACGCCAGCTCAGATATCCAGTCTATGAACTTACTGAGGTAAATGCTGCACAATGGTATCGTCGGACACATAAAGGTAATAAATATGATTAGCCTTTTGCTTGAATATGTTATCAAACAGCTAATAATGTATTGCTAATGTTACACAAACCATGTTCCCACCTCAGGTAGTACCTACAAGGTAGTTTGTGACGTAAGAAACACCAGCGATTTCAAACTGCATTTTTAAGATTGTCTATAGATCACAACAGTTTTAAAGAGAAAATACTCCGCAATAAATTTGCACATGGTTTTTCTTAAAGCATATTAAAAACACCACACAGACATATAAACAAGATTAAAATCTTGATTTTCACAACAGGGGGACTTGAATTAGCCTATGTAGTTTCAAGGCAGGCCAATTCCAACCAACACTTGTTCTAAGGTGAAGTGTATAGCCTAGTTGCTGTCCTACCAGGTGCTTTGTAAAAGCCATTCTCCTCTCTGTAGGGCAATAGATAGACTTCCCCCTCCTTCCAGATGAGGGATTGTTCGTGCCCTTCTGAGAACACACCCTTCCAGCCATCTGGATCTGAACACAGAGCACACACAACAACGTCTGAGATTCCTGGTGAAAATGCTTCCATTTCCCATTCTTTTATTTAATACAAAAATGTTGAACGATCAGCAATTTTTACAAATTGTAAAAATGTATATACATTTCAGAATGTGTAAGTTGATTTGTCTCTCATTTGCTTTAATGGCAGCAGCACTTGAGCTGCATGAACTCCAAATGTTTATGTAAAGTCTGATGGTCATGTTCTCCTAAATGATTTTAGATGATCCAAAGAGTGTCTTGTGTTTCAATGGAAGCAAGACCATCTGATCGACTGTGCAAAGTCGCATGATTAATGTCACAAATTTGATAACTCAATTTGAATGATATGAAATATGTGTGAAATCTGAAATGGTTGTAATCAATCTGACATCACAGTTGTATATTTGATTTAAAATGTTGAAAATTCCAAACCTTTGTTGAAATGGGATTTTAAATACATTTTCAGCGTGGTCTATGCTTGGACCCTACTATATATTCACTTAAGGACATTTAAAACATGTTAGTTACATAAAAATCACATAAAAGGTATTTGTAGTTATTTTTATTATTTTTAAAATATATTTTACAAATAGTGCTTGATTGCTTGAAAAGTGAAATGTGTGTGATTGCAGTGGGAAGCCAGAATTGTGAACACTGATATTCAGTATGAAAATCATGTAAAAAAAAAAGTGTAATTGATAAATTACCTTCTAGGAAGTCTGAAGTAATATTCATAGCCATGTACTGATTGGAGGATGAACAGGCGAGGGAGTGTCCAAAGCAAAAACATTTCTTACAGCCATCTGGGTTATCCAGCTGGAGGTTGAAGGAGCCTGGTTTACACCTATAATACACACAAATACACATCAAGCAGATATAAAGTACTGTTAGAGATAATTCAGTTTTCCTCAAATTTATAAAAATAATTTATGTAAAGATTTGGAAAATGTGGTGCTTATTTATTGATTTATGCGCAGAGAGGAGAGGATATGAGCATTTCTCCACTGATTTATGGTAACTGGAGGTATGCGTGTATGATGTGGACATACTAGGAGGCCACAAATTGATTTCTGTCACTGATCTGCTCTGTGCTAAATATAATAATATTAATGACTCTTGCTCTAATTGCGCATATACCAATGGTGAAATGCATGCAAAAGGTTGCAGATGAGAAATAAAGAGAAAAGACATGTAATTTTAAGACAGAGAGAGAGAGATGGTGTGCCAGTGTGAGGAATAGAAGGTCACCTGTTGCAGGACTGGCCCTCAACATTATTCTTGCAATAGCAGTGCCCATCTTCAGCTGAACACACTCCTTCACTGCCCCTGTCATCACACTTGCACAACCTGTTTGAACACAAATGCACAAACACAGATATAAACAGATGAATGATCCACCACTGATGTGCCTGTAGTGTGCGGCTCAGTTGCCTGACGGCCTCAGGTCAGAGTTGCTCTGTCGGGTGTACATTTTTTTTTAATATATATATATCTCTCCATGATCTGTTACATGGCCTAAAACCACAGTTTTACCTGACTTGCCATTACCCATAATTCTCCTACTTCACAAGTAACCTCTCTCCTCTCTTTGTCTCTTTTCTTTCACTTTTCGCTCCAATGAACCAACTAATTTTTACCCAAAAACACACTGACCCAAATGGGCCACATGAAAGTGCAGTGGGGTATACAATTTTTGTTTGACGTTTGCCTTTCTCCTGTGTTTTCTTTTGCATTACACCATTATTTGCATCATTGAGTGCGCATATGCAATGTGCAAATCTCCTCAGGTGGATATAATCTTTCTTTCTTTCTTTCTTTCTTTCTTTCTTTCTTTCTTTCTTTCTTTCTTTCTTTCTTTCTTTCTTTCTTTCTTTCTTTCTTTCTTTCTTTCTTTCTTTCTTTCTTTCTTTCTTTCTTTCTTTCTTTTAATCTATGTTAATATGGTATTATAGTACAATTTTATTAAGATTATTATTCAGACACAGTCTTTCCTCTTGTGGAAGCCATGTTTTACTGCGTCTTCTGGTTATACATCTTGTCAAGGTTGTTCTCCATTTTTGATACACAAATAGTCTGCAAAGGTGTAGTGTTTTATCGCTAAAAAGGTTTTTGAAAATGTGATATAATTATGTTTCATTTGTGGTGTAATTTGAATTAAATAAAATTAATTTTACAGTATTGTTCTGTTCCAAAGATTAGTGTGATGTAAATGGACCTTCTGGTTTGTTTGTAGTACCTTTATAATTAATGTATATTGGCCGAATTATGCACTGCATTACTTATTTGAGGGCTTCCCATGTACTAGTGAGACATGTTTGCAGAATTCTGCATCCAAGAATCAAATGTTTTTCCTCATTTGACTAATTCTTGGTAGAGATACTCTCGCTCTCATTACCAATACCTGCATCCATCAGGGCCGAGAGAATGGAAGCCGGACTTGCAAATGTCACACTTTACACCAGCCACACCTGGCCGACACACACACACTCCCTCTGCATCACACTGCAAACTCACAGAGCCTGGAGAGAGACAGAGAGAAGACAGGTTTTGACAGACATTAGCCTTTGGGTCTTTTAATGAGTACATGGATAGTTTCAGTTGCATTTAAAAATAATTTCCTCGTCTACAAATTCTTCCAATAAAGTTAATAAATGCGAATTTTAACATATTTTATACACACATTTTGCCACCTGAAGCAAAATAAGATATTTCAGATACAAGACGAACACGATTAACATGTAATTAAACAGTGACAAATAGTTTTAAAAGTGCAAATTTTTTCCCCCTTGCATTCTGGGAATTTAAAATCATTAATATTGCAATATCTAAATGTAAATTCATATTTAAAATCATATCTGAAGTTGTTTAAATAAATAAAACATTTCCCCCCATATTTATCACCTGTAGTCTTGCACATTAGCTGTTTCCAAGATCCACCTTTTTTATGTGCATTTTGGGATATCGCATAAAAAAAGCTGGATTGAAATGCCAAGATGCGCATAAATTCTAAAAATATGTATACAAAACGGATGCGCTCAATTGAGGCGGATACATTTTTTATCCGATAAGAAGTTAAACTATGATGGAAACACATTTACCAAATAAGTCCCTCCATGCGCAACAAAAAACTCACGTGACTTTGCCTCAACTGTGGATGTGACTGGATAACTGGACTAACAAGCAGACCAGTTTCATTGCACAGCACCTCAAATGTTGGTTAGATCATTCTGAAATGCCTGAGCCAAAGTATGCCATCAGAATAATTTTGCGCAACTTTGGATGGAAACATAACTATTAATAATAGCAATAATAATAATTCATTACATTTATATATAGCGCTTTTCTAGGCACTCAAAAGCGCTTCACATGGAAGGGGGAATCTCCTCAACCACCACCAATGTGCAGCATCCACTTGGATGATGCGACGGCAGCCATATTGCGCCAGAACGCCCACCACACACCAGCTTACTGGTGGAGAGGAGACAGAGTGATGAAGCCAATCAGTGTATATATATATATATGGGGATGATTAGGAGGCCGTGATGGACAGAGGCCACTGGGTGTTTGTGTGACTTATTTTTTCCACTCTAGTTACTTCAGAGCTGTAGGCTATATTTGTATGTGTGCATTTGTATGTATACTGTATGTATGTGCATTTGCATGATGAGAGTATGATATAGAGAGCATTTAAGTCCGATTACATGGGTTAATATAAGATACTAGTGAATGTGTGCATGAGTGTGACTAATGCACAATTGCTTTGCTGAGTGTGTGTGTGTGTAACTCACCCATTGCATTACAGTTGCAGTCTTGGCAGGGCTGTTGCGGTAATGATCTAAAGAAGTTCTCTCTGCATCGCTCACAGTGAGGGCCAGCTGTGTTTTCCCTGCAGCCAACACAGCGCCCCCCACTTCCTGTGCTGCGGTACTGCTCAGCATCAAACATGCATTCATCAGCAAGACCACTGCAGTTACACTCTGAGAAGTAACAGAAACAAGTGGAGGAAAAGATATGAATGAAACAAAACAAAACAAAAGATTAAAAAAAAGATCAAACTGATTAGAAATAGCAGTGGACATTCATTTAAACCAGCTTGTTCAGTTTCATTAGGCCTTAGAACACACACACACACACACACACACACACACACACACACACACACACACACACACACACACACACACACACACACACACACACACACACACACACACACACACACACACACACACACACACACACACACACACACACACACACACCCTAATAAGCTCCCTTGCCACAGGCCCCTTCTTCTCCTCAACACATCACCCAACCAGAACGCACAAGTCAGCTTTTTATGCACCCGCCACCTAAGGGGGCATTGTGGGACATTACTCGTTTTATTACAGTTCCGTCAGTCTATTGACTCTGCAATAACCATCACATTATCACTCTCTAATGGGACACAGTTTCTTGAGCTGCCACTGAAGAAAGGATTACACACCATTATACGGTAGAAGAGACGTACAACAGATAGGGAGAAATGTTTATTAAAGAAAATGTACAGTTTTATTTTTTGACATTAAAATACTTTCTTAGTTCAACAAAAGAACTAGGAACAAACCTAAGAAAAAATTATATTTTCTGGTTAGTTAAAAAGTGGTGGGTTCCATGTAATTGCAACATGTCACGTTTTGGTCTTGTCTTTCTTTGTTTTGGGTTTGTTCATGTCATGTTTCCTTGTCTGTCATGTGATCCCTTGTAAGTCATGTGATCCTGCCATGTGTTCCCTTGTCTGTGTCATGTTGTCATTGGTTCATTGTTTTATTGTTCACAGGTGTCCCTTGTCTAGTTATTAGTCTTGTGTGTATTTAAGCCCTCATGTTTGCCATGTGTCTTTGTCTTGTATTGTTTCACTGTACCACTGATGGTAAGCGTCATGTCCACGTCTATGCTTTTGTTCTGAGTTTTTATGCCATGTTTTTGTTTTATGTTTTATCTTATGTCTAAATAAACTGCACTTGGGTTCTATTCGAACTTGCCTCCAGTGGATCCCGATTACACGTTTATAAATATTTTAGTAAGTATGCTTGTTTAAGATATGTGTGGATGTGATGAATAAATATTTCTAGGTTGCCCTAATTACTCTTTTTTTTTTTTTTATGGATGCAGCCATGCAAAGAAGAATATTGAAATTTAACAAACCATTTATATTGCAGATATAAAGAAAGCTGTGGTAACAAACCGTCAAAAATGGCTAAGAACAAACAAGCATTTTTTTGCTGGAAGCTAGGTCTATCTTTTATCTCATGGTTTCTTTCCACTTTCAGACTAGAGGGTAAAAAAGACGTCCTTAGTCAATTAACGTGTCTGTTTGAAGCATTACGAGAGAGGCATATGGTGGCAGCTCTGCGAGTCTGCCATGCAAATGCTAAACTTGGCACAGTCTGTGATGAAGAACTTTGCAAAGCAACCATGCATGGAATGCATCTGCAGTTGATTCCACCTCCTCACCAACAGATAGTGCTGCTTTTGAAACCAAAAACTTGTTTATTCATTAAATCCACTTTGATGGGAAGGGACAACAATTACCAACAGAAACCCATCTGTTGACCACTGAATGTTAATTAAAGGAACGTGGAGCTTAATGAAAATAATTAACATGGCATTTTTCGGCTTATGGGTTTGTCAGAATTGCCAATTACAGCATCCCCCCAAAGTATTTACCAGAGACGCATGACAGCACACAAACATACAACACATTACACAAGTGAAACTTTCTTAGTTACTGTGCTAAAAGGCTAACCGATGCGTTGTTTGATTGAATTACTGAATGATGTGAGCATCCACAACCCCATTTCCAGAAAAGGACATTTTGTAAAATGCAATAAAATCAAGAATCTGTGATTTGTTAACTCTCTTTAAATTTATTCAATGGACAAAAGCACAAAGAAAGGTTTTCCAATGTTTTCACTGTCCAACTTAATTGTATTTTGTAAATATAAACAAATTTGTATTTTGATGGCTGCAACACACTCCAGAAAAGTTGGGACAGAGGCATGTTTACCACTCTGTCACATCACCTTTGCTTTTAATTACACTTTTTAACTGTTTGGGAATTGAGGATAGTAATAGTTGCAGTTTTGCAGGTGGAATTTTCGCCTAATCTCGCAATACACAAGACAGCTGCTCAACTGTCCTTTTTTCCCCTGTGTAACAGAGATTCGAGCGGCAGACTATGTTGTGACAATGGTTTTCCAAAGTACTTCTGAGCCCATGTGGCTATTTTTAACACAGTATAACAGTTTCTCACGCAATGCCATCTGATGACTTGAAGGTGGCGCACATTCAACAGAGGTATGCAAGCTTTTTAACAGAGGAATGAGCTTTGTATGTGGGTTTTTTGTTTTCTTCAAACCAGGTTCTTCTCTGTCTGCTGGTCAAACAGGACAAAACTCAATTGCGTTTGCAATGATTGAAGCTGTTTTTTTTTGTTGGTATATATTTTATAGTTTTCAAATGATTTTATATAATTGTATTCAGTATTACTGTGCGATTACTGTATTATGTTTAATACTGCACTCAATTGGACATCTGAAAATATCTTTGTAAAATATGTGTAAAAAAAGTTCAAATCTTGTTTTTCATGCCCTAACAGCAATAACAACACACACTGAATAAAGTAAGCAAATTCAATCACAACCAATGTTCAAGACGCAACAAATTAACTGGTAACGCTTCCTTTTACAGTCCTGTTACCCATGTACATACTATGTACTTATTATAGTAATTACAATTACTGGGTAATAACTAGGTACTAACCCTGAACCTACCCCTAAACCAACCCCTAACCCATATACTTACCTTATATTAGCCAGTACTTTCTAGGTAAGTACACTGTAATACACATAAGTACTGTACTGTAAAAGGAAATGTGCATTTGAAAGTTGATTTGAGAAGGTAAAACTCTATCTCTAACTGAATTTCATGTTTAATGAACTTTAAAACAGTTAAAAACAAATTATGCAGATGTGGACACTTAAATAGATGCTACATTTATCAGATAGGCTACTTTAAAGACAACGCACAGATGGGCCCTCAGCTAAAACTTCAGTTTCTTGATTGATTTAAATTTACATGTTAGTTTGAAACTGAGAAAATGGATGAAAACCATTTATTATTAATTAGTCAAATGAAAAACATTGTTAAAATTGTAATGTAAAATTTACTTAGGGCCATAAGCACTTTTCTTGATTAAAATCTCAGTGTCACTAAATTAATTAACCAGGTGATAAAACTTGCAGGATTAACTTTTATTTTTTAATAGGATTAACTTATTAGGTCTACACATTAAACAATGTGTAGACCTAATAAATGTTTCGATATAATATATATATATATATATATATATATATATATATATATATATATATATATATAAATAGGAACATATTAAAAAAAATACTTTAATCATAAACGCAGGAGAAAAATTGATAAGGGACTGAACAAAACAGGGAATTTAAATACAAGACGAACCAAATGACTGACAGTAATCATACGTAACCATAGAAACAAACAAGGAGATAATCAGTAACCAAAACTGAACGGAATATCAAAATAAGAGTCTGTATATTACACATTATACATCACATCTGAGTGTAGGATTTTCAGGTTTGTGATGGATCTACTCCAAATAGACAAAGAATCAGGCCGTACTCACTCACACACTGGTTGGCTGAATCAGCTGTGGCCCGTGCCCATGGCCGGTCCTGGTAGAAGGGAGCACAGTGCTGACAGTCGACCCCTGCAGTGTTGTGCTCACAAGCACACACCAAACCACCCTCCTCATTGGTCATGCAGTCACTGGCATGACCGTTACACTTGCATCTGCAAGACAGTTGAGAGCGCATTATTAACATTCTTTCAAGGCTCATTGTTTTCTGTGGACACTCATAAAAAAATTCACTTTGCCAAAAAAAATAAGCTCAGGATGTGGCATTCAGAGACAAGATTTACAAATGAGCCAGATGGTTGAATTTAAAACCAAATTACATCAAAACACAAAGCAAAATTTGATATGCTACCTTAACAGAGAATATTGGCAGAGTTGATCAATATGTCAAAAATACTAAGTAGAAACACATTCTGACCACAGCGTTTGCCATTTATTTGGCAGAAATTACAGCTTAGCAAGTGTTGTGTATTTTCACCAACTTGCACTGATAACTTAACATTTGTGCACTTTATTATGATGGAAAAAAAAATAATCAGAGAAAAGGCATAGACACTTTGATATACAATATGAGCTGATGATGAAAAAACAAAAGCCGACATGCACAAACTATATACAGATGGCGAACAAACACACAAATACACAGACACTGTCTCTTCCACATCCTGTTTATACAACTAAAACACTTAAGATGTAGAACACAGATCAAATGGCTGGGAAATCTCTCTCTCTCTCTCTCTCTCAAGCACAGTTCCTATTGGTATTACATCACTCACTTGCATTTTCTGTCATTTGCTCCCTTTCTCTTTTCTATTGGTCAGTATCTGCCAATGAAACATCGGTGACAGCTAAAACACATGCAACATTACATAGTTGTGTTTATTCACCTGCCCCCTACGGAGAAATCAGATATGGCATAAAAATATGAGCGAAGCACTTTGGGATCTTTGAAGAACTCGTCTCCAAAAGTGTTCAATCTGTCCAGAGAGATGAGAATATCTGTAGCCGTCACCCAGTCCTACAGAGAGGAAAGTAAAATGAAATAGAAAATGCATGTTATGAAAAAACAAAAGCCGACATGCACAAACTATATACAGATGGCAAACAAACACACAAATACACAAACACTGTCTCTTCCACATCCTGTTTATACAACTAAAACACTTAAGATGTAGAACACAGATCAAATGGCTGGCAAAACTCTCTCTCTCTCTCTTACTGAAGCACAGTTCCTCTTGGTATTACATCACTCTGTAATAATATTTCACATTACTGTTTTTACAGTATTTTTGTGAGCATAAGATACTTTTTGAGCATAATACACTTTCAAAAACCCACCTCAAACTTTTGAAAGTTAGAGTATTTTCAAGTATAAATACCTAATTATACGTTGCATGAATTAAATGTGATATAAAATTGTTGTTTCTAAAATTAAATAATTGGCTTTTATGTTATCAATGTATTAAAATAAATTAAAATATTATTTGAAGAATACTTCATATTAGGTTGACAACTTATTGCTTAAAATAAGTTGCATAAAATGGGTTGTATAAAACTAAATAATTATGATTGAGCTCAGAATCTTTAGAATAATCTTTAGATTAAAACCATAAATCATATTTTAGCTTTAATTCTGTAAAGGTGTTACAAATTATTTTACGTTAAACATATTTAATATCTTAAGATAAGTAACTTTTACTACCCTTTTATTCTCAAATTTTTAATTTTAATTTACTTTCCCAAAAGGTCAAAGGGGCAGGAGTCGTAAATGGCGGAGAACAGTAAGTCGCATGACAATACCGACATGCAGAATGTACATGTCTAGAATATATGCATACACACATTAATCATTTCAGAATGCACTTTATTAACAGTTTAGAAGTAAGTTCAAAAACAGATGTAGTTAAGGTGAGAGGTTGTTCTGAGGTCATGGAAAGAGCACAATTAGATACCATAACATTTGTCATAATTCTTGTGTTGAAGTGAACTTCAAGGAAAACAAACCTAGCACCTCTGTGTATTCATGTGTATGTGATACAGGCCAAAGCATAAAGAATGAGATGGTAGAAAGAAATAGAGCCTTCCTCATTTTTATTGTGTATGTGTGCAGCTGTGTGTCTGGTCAAGTGTGTGTTTTGGTATGATCATGTGTGTGTTAGTGTGAAAGCAATAGAGTTTGGTCATCCTTATCAGTGGCTGGCCTGTTGACCCCTGTTCTGTCCGTGTTAATGGGTTTTGAGCCCAGTGTGACAGCCTGGCGCGTGTAGGTGAGAGCACACATCTTTCATTCTGGGGGAACAAGATAAAAAAGGAGCGGAGCAGGCCAGCACGTCCCTGCCTCTCGGAGGGATGGTAAAGTCCATTCCTATTCAGAGCAGTTGAGTAAACAAAAGAAAGAAACAAATAACCCCTCCATGCCTCTTTGTCTTTCTAACGATGCTCATCTGACTCTGCTTCTGTGTTTATTATACATGTCGCTCTGTTCTTCTGCTTCCACTTCTCTGTGCACAATATTTTTATCTTCCCCTCAGAGTGTCTCTCTTTTCTCTCTCCCATCCTTAGCTCTGCACAGTTTTTTAATGCCTACTTTACTTTTTCAACTCTCTCTCTCTCCTGTGCCTCTCTTGTGTTTGTTTTCGCAGTACTTGTGCATCATGTAGAAAAGGTCTTATTTTGGGGGTGAAACAATGTGCAATGAATCATAAACAATAACAGCTCCAATACTACAGAGTGAGAGGAAGCTATAGAGAGAGAGATACACGCTGTGTTCTACAATCTAATGAGTTACCTCTGTAGGCAGTATTTTAAGTCATCGTGGATCGCTGCCAATGTGAAAGCTGTGCCAAAAAGTAGGCAACTTAATTATGCTGCCTTCTAAGATGTCTTCTTTTAGCAAATTACTGGCACCACTGCATTTATCCCTTACAGTGGTGGCAATCCTATCACACACAAACTCCAAGATGTACAAGATATTTAAATATATAATGCATAAAAATTTTAAAAAATATATAATATAATAAAATTTAATATACATGGTTAGACTATTTTAAGGTGTCTCTGTTGCAGTGTAATTATACATTTAAGTACTAAGTAATAATACTTAACTACATACTTACTATAGTGTTAGGATTATGGTTTGGTTTTGGTTAGGGCATACTACATGTAACACGTAACAAGGACACTGTAAAGTGTTACCAAATATACATACTGTATAAACTCATTCAATACTTAAAACCATAATCAAAGTATTAAAACTGAAGTAATAAATAATTCAAAATTGAATGGTAACAATTTACAATAAGGTTTCACTTGTTAACATTGTATTAACTAACATGAAATAACAATGACCCATATTTTTTTTACAGTATTTATTCATCTTTGTTAATGTTAGCTAATAAAAATCCAGCTGTTTATTGTTTGTTCACATTAGTTCACAGTGCATTAATGTTAACAAATACATTTGTTGTTTTTAAATATGTACTAGTAAATGTTAATTAACATTAACTGACATTAATAAATGCTGTAGACGTATTGCTCAATCCTATTCTCATTTTATTTTAATAATGTATTAGTAGTGAAATTAAAATTAAGATAAGTGCTAGAAGTAGCCTATTGTTCATCTTTAGTTCATGTTGACTTAGTAGGCCTAGTTAAATGTTTTTATACTGCAGGGCCGTTGAATGCTTGAATCTAATTGGTTGACGAACGTTCTAAGGTGTGCAATTATTTTCAGGGAAACGCACGGCTAAAGTATAGTTCCAGGCAGGTCTTGACCGCATTACAGTTCCATATCACTTCGCGTAGGTGACTGTAATAACGGAAAATTAACAATTTAGCTTTGTTATACTGGCAGCCAAGTAATCGACATTTCGTTGTCAAATTTCACTGTGTGTTTTTTGTACAATGACAATAAAGGAAGTCTAAGTCTAAGTCTAAGTCTAAAAGAGGATACAATTCAAGAAAAAACATGCAGCCCCATGCTCAATTTTCGATGTCTAACTTCACAATCAATGGAAACCTGCAGTTTAATTTTAATAAATAAAGTCTGCTATCAGTGGCTCAAACCTCCGTTACTAACTCTAAAATTACGTTTTTGAATTAGCAAAGGAGGCATAGGATTAGATGCGTAAGAAATTAGTCCTGCATACAAGAGCATACAATGACAAAAACTTGACAAACGTCTTGAAATACATCTTCTGAACAATGTTTCGAGGTGTGGTAACTGTAGTATAAGTGGAATAATTGACTCCAGGCCGTTGAATTATTAGAAAAATGATGCACACCCGAGGTGGTAATGCGGTCACGAATCACGATGCAAATTATTCCTTACTCAATGTGCTTTAAGACAAACCACGTGCACATTCATAAGTCAACAACAACACCGAATTGTGGAGTATTTTCTCCTTAAAACTGCAGTGAAAAAAAAAAAAATTGGTTTAAAAGCGGTTTAAAATCCCTGGTGTTTCTGACCTAACGTTACCCGAACTCGAGATTCGAGAGACGCCAGGTTATCCCGGTACATATTTTTGTTGATATGAAAAATCAGGTAAATTTACCAATATAGCGGGTGTATGTATATTACGATGATATGATGAACTATATGCCTTTCTCCACTGACGTTCTGATTTGTTCAAATCGTTTCTGATGATAGTTAGAAGGCGAATGGGACATAGTTTGTGTAGGCTAGCAACACTTTTTTAGCTGTTTGATAACACAGTCCAGCAAAAGGCTAATCATATTACCGACGTTGTAAAGAGTGATACTTGTGTGTTGGCCGAATGAATCTGTGAGCTGGCGTGAGTGGAGGCGGGGCTAATTAGCATATTCATGGATCCGCTAAATTAAGCAATGGTAGTTGCATTCAAGCTATTTTAGGTGTAACCCGGGTTAAAAATGCATAAGGTTATAAGTGATGTTTGTAGTAGGTCTATCATCTAATAATTAGAGCAAATAAGTAGTGTGATTAAAAAGGTTGAAATACATTCAAAAAGAAAAGTTATAATAAAAATTTTAAAAGCAGTTTTAAAATTGTTATAGGCCTATGTTTATTGTTTTAGGTAAGAGATAATGGCCATCATTTATCATTCTTGCGTAGAAACGGGCGTATATGTTGGCGTAAGATTATGCTTACACTCCTCTCACCACCTGATTTATGAAGCTGTGCGTACCTTTGAAATCCAGGTGTACGCAATACCTGCCCTTGATAAATCCCGCGGCTGAAATCGATCGTCATTAGAATAACACGCCCCTATATATTCAAGTCTCCGCTTCCCCCACGCCCTCATTTTACGCCATGTACACACGGAAGACGGCACAGAAGAGAAACTTCTCCGACGTGGAGCCGAAACAGGGTCGGCGCCAGGACATACGGAACGAGGGGGCTTCGATGTGTCACTGGGATGTGTTCGATGTGTCACAACACTTCGATGTGTTCCTACCTCTCCCACCCTCAAAAATAATAATAATAACAATACACACACTTTTAATTAAAAAACAACAACCCCATCATGCCACCATACCCGACGCGACGATACAGAGCCACTCAACATAATATTATTTCGGCATAATAGGCCTATCTGTTATTTCGACATCGTATCTCGTTATTTCGACATAACAACTGCTGGGACATTCTAATCTGCATTAAACCAAGCGTTCTTATAATGGTTTTCCTGGGAGGAAAATGCTTTATGTGTAGGCTAATTAAACGCGTTGCGTCAATATTCTTGGCTTATGATCTGATTTTTTTGCACATAGTACAGCACTTTATTATGATTTTAGTATCATAATGATTAATAAATGCATGCACAATATCCGTGAACTTGATAAATGTTGCAGATATGTGTTACTATACACAAAAGAATGCCTTTCAACTTACGAGTGCAAAATTCAGAATTAAATTAATGTGCAGGAATTCGTACAAATAGGCCTACTATACGTGTTGTAGCCATTAAATAAGCGCATTTAGTTTTATATTTGTTACAATATTATTTATATATATTTTATTATATTTTATTTTAT